TGCACTGAACTGCATTCCTTCTTTTATGTTTCGAGTCCCCAACTCTACTGTCTCCAGTAAACCCTTAACATATTTTGTTGTTTGCTTTGCGCAAGCTCTAAACCCTGAACACGAGCCTAGCGATTCCTCTTGCCTTTAATGTCTTAACAGCACGCGCGTTGTGAACTACCGCCGCTGCTTTTTGAGGGTTTTCAAGGTGCTAATTGGGTCGAGGGTTTAGGGTTTAGGGTTTAGGGTTTANGCCGCTGCTTTTTGAGGGTTTTCAAGGTGCTAATTGGGTCGAGGGTTTAGGGTTTAGGGTTTAGGGTTTAGGGTTCAGTGCGGTTGGGTGTGATATGCAGACTGCCCAAAATCTGAAATCGCACATTTGGCGCGTGGTTGGGTACGCCTCTTCTGCCTTCAACCCTAAACCCTAAACCCTAAACACTAAACCCTAAGCCTGAGCTTGAACGCTAAACCCTAAACGCTAAACCCTAAGTCTAAGCTTGAACCCTGACGCCTAAACCTATGCGCACTTTATCCCCCGACGTGTCCTCACAACCCAGGCCAGGTAGCATATTGGATAAGTGTGTTATGGTTTAGGGTTTGGGGTTTAGAGTTTGTTTGTTCTCAGGGATAGTACCACAGGACTGCAGAGCCCATACCTCATGTACACCAAAATTGTAAGTGTTTAGGGTTTAGGGTTTGGGGATTAGGGTTTAGTGATCGGGGTTCCAGCGTAGTTTTGTATGAACGGCGTTGCCGGGGGGAGGGGGCACTTGTTTTCCTTCATTGTTCCTTCTCGTTTGGGTTTGTTTCGTGGTGCTCGGGTTAGGGTTTAGGGTGTAGCGTTTGTATTTTGCTGCAGCACGAGTTCATGACGATTCGCCCCCAAGGCAGCTCAAGGATCATCACCTCTTTAGATACATGGGAAACCCTTTGGCGCTGGCTACCTGAAATACTCAAATGTTCCGTACGTCTCACNCCTCTTTAGATACATGGGAAACCCTTTGGCGCTGGCTACCTGAAATACTCAAATGTTCCGTACGTCTCACTATTCCCCTGTAGTGGTGTAGCGATCTAGCTATCTAGCTAGCTAGCCAGATGACGGCGTGGCTGGCTGGCTATTCAGTTTGTTTGCTTTCTGCAATTGTGGCTCACTCCGCTGGAAGGTAGCTAGCCAGCTAGATGGTGAGATATAGGTGCTCGTCTGGCTAGCTAGCGGTATGTGTGGGACGGCAACTGGGTGGGTGTCTAGCTAGCTAGCCCGGTAGATAGCTGTTGAACCTTGGCAGTGGTGTATGAAGCTTTAAAGCCATATAAGTGGCTCTGCGGTTGCCATCTATAGCGGCGTGAATTGCTGCTGGGTTTGGGTTCTCTTCCCATACGTCGTATGAGCTGCACGTTTTTGTGTTCTTCTCCGTCATGGGTTGATCTGCACTGTTCTTGTTAGGTTTGTGTGTTCGTTTGCTTCCCTGCCTGGATGTCTGTTTGTTTGTTTGTTTATCGTTTGGTTTCTCCTTCCATCTCTGCGCTTGCTTATCTGTGAATCATGTGTTGCACATCCACTCATCTTCTATTCATAAATGAATGAACTGTTTTTTTTTTGTTGGTTGGCTTCAACATTTGCAATATGCACTGTTGCGTTGTTTTGTGTTTAATGCAGACGCCCTTCTTGATCTACAGCAGCAGCCACGATGGCTTCACCTTATCTTCTCTTTTGAATCGTGCTTTATATACTACCTGCCCTTACGTGTTGGTTGCCGCAAGCGACAGTCAAGATGTCTTTGGGTTTTTCTCTCCTATTCATTTCGACGACCACAAAAACCCAGGTTTGCCTTGTACACCATGTTTCCTGCATGGTGCTGTATTCTGTTGTTTGTTTGTTCATCTGTTGTTTATTCATTATGGATTTGTGTACCGTTTGTATCTCGGTTCATTTGCCTTTTCGTGGGGTTCTTTGATTTCGGCGTGTTATTGTACTTTTTTTTTTATATTGTCGTGTTACGCACGTGATGCGGCAGCTGTGCGATGGTTTCTGCTATCATGTTTTTTCTAACGTTCAAAAAGTGAACAAAGCATCTTCCGTTGCCCTCTTTGTTGCATACATATCTGCAGCATTTATGCGTTCTGTTTTCTTTATTGATTGCCGTGCGTCCTGTCTATGTATAAGTTACAGCTGGCGTTTTGTTCATGATGGGTTCTCAACTGCACAGTGCAGACATTCAAAAGCAAACTTTTTTTATCGTTCAACATTTCCGTCATCCTTTTCCTGTGTTCTGCTGCCTCACGTTCTATGATTTTCCGTTATTAATTCTTTGCTGCTTCCACTGTTCCGTATGTGAGTCTTGCGTGCAAGGTGAATGCTTCTCTCTGCTTTCCTTGCTTGGGGCCTGCATCTATGTTAAATATCGCTCTTTTATGTCTTTTGTTTGGGGCTTCTATGCGTCAACAGACCATTCGTTAAGCGAAGCCTTTGTGTTTACTTTGTTTCCTTTCCCCCGCGCATTCTGGTGGACCGGCGCTAACAATGTTTTTCTTCGCGTGCGCAGTGAAGGGTTTTTCGTTGGGACTGATGGGTGAGATGATGCAAATAGAAACGCAATAAGTAGAAGTATAACACCATAAAGTTGCATATCAGTAGGAATGACAGCAAATGGAAATGGGTGTCACTAGAAAAACACAAATACAGATAGATGCACGTCGAGTCAAGCGTAAATAACAGAAGTTCAAATAAGAAGGCAACCGAAATATAAATCAAAAGAATAGCTAACAGTGGCATTGAAAATAGGATAAAATACGTAAAGCTACAACTCAGTTAATGCACATAGGGACGGAAATTGATAGTTTTGCAGATGAACAGAAAAAGCCCGTAGAGATGAACCTCAGCGTGCTGATGAGTGAAGGGCAACGCAGTCAAGCGAAAGCACGAGCAGTCGTTGCAAAGAACAAATATGTGCAAATGAAGGGAGAAATAAATGTAGTAGAAGAGCAAACGCAGCTCCATGAATTATCTGTGTTTACGCATATGCTATTTGCTGAACCCTTTCTCGTTAGCTTCAAATAGTCTTTTGTTAATTTTTTCATATCTATGTCGTGATCATAGCACTATTTTTATTGTTCTTGGGGTTTTCAGCTTCCTTATTTTTGGTGGCTTTGTGTATCTAGACGCACCGTGAGTCCTCTTTCTGCACATACATTTTTATGTGTGTTTATTTACTCGTATTTGAAATGTTGAACTGATTTCTTCGTTTCTTTTCTGTGTTTTTCTGGGTCTTTCTGCAGCGTGGCGTTGTGGATGGACAATGACCTGGCGCGTTGCCGCAGCAGCCNTGTTTTTCTGGGTCTTTCTGCAGCGTGGCGTTGTGGATGGACAATGACCTGGCGCGTTGCCGCAGCAGCCCTTCAGCTTCCTTTGCCTCTGAAAGTCTTGTCACTACCGAATTCGGCGACTGTAGCCTATTGCAAGTTGAAATATGGGGCCTTCGTTGACTGTATCTGCTATTATTTATACATATTATTGACATATATATATCGTAGGTATGTATACGTACTATGCATCTGCGCACATATGGATGTATGCAATGGTATGATACATACAATATGCGGAACCCCCCTGTACGAAATGCATGCATGTGTATATACGATCTATGAAATAAGATGTAAACGAGATATATAATATATACATATATATCTATATACTTACATGCGGTGAACATGAGCGCCCCTCCTGCCGGCAGTTGCTGCTGCAGCTGCTGCTGGCGTCCCTGTTGCTCCTGCTCAGGACTGTGGCTTGCCAGCAGCAGCCGCACCAGCAGCAGCTGAAACCGCAGCCGCTGCGGTTTTTTTGGTATTTTTTTCTCTGAGTCGCTGCAGCATAAGCGGCATGTGGCCTTACGTTTGCTGTTTTGATGTTCTTCCAGCCCCAAGCAGGTGGTTGTGCATGCGTGCATGCGATTGGGGCTTGTTTGTGTCCGGCTTTGTGTAGGGATTATGTACTTTTACACAAACAGGTGGCGTGTGCATGCATGCTGTGTGTTCGGGGCTTGCTTGGGGCTTCCGCACATTTGTAGAACTGTTTCTCATCGCAGCAACAACACGCAGTTGTTGCAGCGGCTGTTTCTGACNTTCCGCACATTTGTAGAACTGTTTCTCATCGCAGCAACAACACGCAGTTGTTGCAGCGGCTGTTTCTGACCATCACAGCTGCTGCAGCTTTTGCCTTTCACAGTAGTAGCAGCAGCAGCTGGTGTTGCTGTTGTACTCTGCAGCTGTTGCTGCTGCCTGCCACAGCGGCAGATGCAGTTCCTTACTGCTTCTGCTACTGTTGTTGCTACAGCAGCAGCAACATCTGCTGCATTCTTCGTTGCGCAGTGAAAAACACGGGCGGGAAGTACACCGTTAGGAGTTTGCAGCATGAAAGATACGATCAAGTGTATGTACAACCACTACAAATGCAAACGAGCATTTTGCTACTAGTTGCGCTGCTATTCAGCAGTAGAGTTGCATAGAGCAGTAGGCTCACACTTCCCTGTCTGAGGTGTACATACATCTCAGTTAGCTTCCGAAACGCACTTCAATCCATCTGCTGCCTCCCGGCAAGCCATATATTGTATATATACTGAGGACTGTTGACCAGTCGTCGCAGCAAAGCCACAGCAATATACAAAAAAAGGACAGGATCCGCTGGACAATAGACAATAAACAAAAAAAGGAGACCTAGAGTATTTCTGTATTTGTTTGGAGATGCCTATGCCTCGGCATTAGGGCTTAGCGTTCGGGGATTCACTCCTTTGTGCCGCTGCTGCACGCGAGCTGCCAGCAGCAGCTTTTCAAGGTGCTGCAAGTAGCGGTTTGCTGCTGCAGAAAGTCTCGCTGAGCCTTCTGCAGCCGGCAGTAGCAGCAGCAGCTGCAGCAGTTGCTGCAGCACAGGAGAATCACCTTGGTCAACACGTAACAGCTGAGGCAGCAGTAGTAACGAATCAACAGCAACCCCAGAAGTGTTACTACTACTGTTACTGCAGGGCTTAGGGGCCATCGGTACAGCAAGTGCAGACGAAGCGTTTGAGGCGCTGCTGTTGCTGTTGCTGGGATTCCCACTGCTGCTGCTANTACAGCAAGTGCAGACGAAGCGTTTGAGGCGCTGCTGTTGCTGTTGCTGGGATTCCCACTGCTGCTGCTATCCGCGTCGATGCTGCTGCTGTTCTCACTGCTGCTGCGAAGAGCAGCAGCTCCTCGTGCTGCAGACTGCAAGAAGCTGAGAACCGTCGGGTGTACTGAAGGGCTTTGTGGATCGAAGGTAACCTCTCCCTCCGAACCATCCAGCAGCAGCAGTAGCGTAGGCGGTAGCTCCTGAGAGCTCCTGCAGCAGCAGCAGCAGCAGCAGCAGCAGCAGCAGAAACAGCAACTTCTGTTGATATGATATGGTCCTCGTGATAGGGGTTTACAGCATCCGCCTGTGCGGTGAGATGCATGTATGCAGCATATGCATATGAAGGTTGCTTCTATCGTATGCTCATGAGCATGCAACAGAAGCTGCCTTCACATGACTAAACCCTAAACCCTAAACGCAGAATGTATTGGGAAACACGATAACAGCGTGGGACCATAAACCCTAAACCCCAACACCCTACGAAACCCTAAACCCTTAACCCTAAACCCTCAACACACTTGGGGGACCCTCGACAAGCGAACTCCAGCAACAGCTCAAACACTAGTCCGCTCTGCTGCTGAAGCAGCATTTGTTGCTGCTTCTGCAGCTCCTGCTGCAGGTCACCCTCCTGCAGTTGCTGCGCGTTCATCGTGGGCTGCTGCAGTTGCTGCCACTCGGGGAACGCCGCAGCAAGGAGCCCACGAAGACTTGGGGATGGATCCTCTGCTGCTGCAGCAGGTGAGGCTTGAGTGCAATCTTCTTCTGGCTGCTGTTGTTGCTGCTGATGCTGCTGTAGTTGTTGCCGCTGCTGGTGCTGCCCGTGGTGCTGCTGCGACAGCGAGTGTTGCTGCGGCAGCAGATGGAGCAGCACTGCAGCGGCACTTTGCACTCGGTAAAGACCTGCAGCCCAATTACCACAACAGCAGCAGAAGGCGCGCAATGTAGCCCGCAGCAAATGCTGCTAGGGCCTCAGCAAATACAGCGGCGGCAGCAGCAGCAACAGCAGCAGCAACAGCAGCAGCAACAGCAGCAGCAGCAAGGAGAACAGCAAGCCTTGTAAGTCTCCGTACCGCATATATTGACAGCCATTTCTTCCAGTGACTCTCCAGTCAGTTGACTCAGGCAGCGGCTGTTGCTGCTGCTGCTGCGGAGAAGGAATGACAAAAACCCTCCTGCTGTTGCTGCTGCGTGTGCTGCAGCAGAAGCAGCGGCACTAAGGAGCTCATTCTTCTCTTCTGATGTCTCAGCACCAGCACCAGCCACACCACAAAAGCAAGCAGCAGAAACTGCTGCTTCCACGTGCTGCAGCAGCGGCCGAGACAGTAGCCAGCCTCCCCATGGCGCCCCTGCTGCTGCTGCTTGCGCTGCTGCTGCAGGCTCTTCTGCAACAGGCAGCTGCAGCAGTGGGCCTAGCAACTCCTCCCACAGCTCTAGCAGCTGCACCCCCGAGCTAGAACAGACTGACAGCACAAGGCCGCACCACTGCAGGTACTGCTGCTGCTTTTGCTGATGCTGCAGCTCCTGCAGCAGGGTGGGGAGGAGCTGCAGCAACTCTGGTCGGCCAAGCGCCTGCTGTTGCAGCAAACAATGCAGCAGCATCAGCGCATTCCTGCAGCAGCAACAGTCGCAGCTCCAGCAACAGCTTCCTTCGCGCTATCCCCGAATCCCTAGTTGCGGCTGCTTAGAGGTCGCTTCATCAGCAGGAGCAACAGCAGCTGCAGCAGCAGCAGCAGCAGCAGCAGTCCGTTGCTAAAGTGACAACTGCAAAAACAACGGCTGCAAAAGTAGTGGATGCAACACCGAAAGCAGCAGCAGCAGCAGGAGCAGCAGCAGAAACAAAGGTGCTCTGGCGGCTAAGCGAAGCAGCGTTGTCTTACTGGTCCTTTGAAGGAGTGCCATCGGGGAGAGCAGCAGCAGCTGCTGCTGCTGCTGTTTCAGTGTCAGCCAAACACTGCACATAGGCGGTGCTCAACGGCAGCAGCTGCTCTTGCTGCTGCTGCTGCAGCTGCTGCTCTTCCATATCAGCAGCAGCTGGAGCAGCAGNGGCAGCAGCTGCTCTTGCTGCTGCTGCTGCAGCTGCTGCTCTTCCATATCAGCAGCAGCTGGAGCAGCAGCAACAGCACGTAGAGCTGCTGCTTTCGCTCTTTCTAGGGATATCCCGCAGTACGCAGGGGCCCCCGCAATGGGGCCTCCTTCTGTGTCTTCTGCATTTTTGAAATAGCTGAGAGCTGCTGCTAAAAGGGAAGGACTGGTGAGGCCCATGCCGCTGTAGGCACGAAGGATACGCTGCAGCAGCAGACATCGCAACCGTAGCCACTGATGCAGCAATAGCAGCAACAGCAGGAGCTGCAGCAGCAACCGCAGCTGCAGCAAGAGCAGTTGCATCGACACTAACTGGCTGTAGCTTTTTCTGCTACACATGCTGCCGCAGCATATGCCGCTGCTGCAAAGCAGCAGCAGCAGCAGCCAAAAACAGCAGATGCAACAGCAGGAGGCAACAAGGCTACAGCTTTACTTACCAGCAGCTGCTGCAGAGACACCTCAGATGCTGTTGCATCGGCTATGAGGNCAAGGCTACAGCTTTACTTACCAGCAGCTGCTGCAGAGACACCTCAGATGCTGTTGCATCGGCTATGAGGCCTGTACAGCGCATCGCAACCACCTGTGGGTGTACACTGCACGCGTTTCCGAAACCCTAAACCCTAAACCCTAAACCCTAAACCCTAAACGCTAAACCCTGGACTTGGTGAGCGTTGTATGCAATTAAAGTGGAAAGAGTCTGCACCGCCCTGCGGCACAGGCGAGCTTGCAGTGTTGCTGCTGCTGCTGCTGCTGTGGCTACAACTTCTGCTGCTGCCAGTCTGCAGCAGGAGAGACTAACGTACGAGCGTTAAGTGCATGCAGAGCCTCGCTGTCACTTGGGGGCGTCTCCTGGGGCTGCAGCTGCAGCAGCAACTCCGCCAGCTCAACCAGCTGCCCAGTAGAAAACCAAGTGCACCTGCAGCACCCCCAGTAACAGCAGCAGCAGTAACATCAGCAGCAACAGCAGCGACAACAGCAGCAGGAGTTATAGATAGTAGCAGCAGCAACAGCAGCCAAACAGCTAATGCAGATGCCGCAGTGAGATAGCGATGACGAGGGATCCATGGTAAGCAGCACGAGCACCAGGACCAGCAGTAGCATCTCTAGCAGCAGCAGCAGCAGCAGCAGCAGCAGCAACAGCAACAGCATCAGTANAGGACCAGCAGTAGCATCTCTAGCAGCAGCAGCAGCAGCAGCAGCAGCAGCAACAGCAACAGCATCAGTAGCCTACCTGGAAGCAAGTGTAGAAAACGTTTGCTCTAACAATGCAGGGCAGGGGACCTCAGCAGCGGCATAGAGACGCAGACACCGCAGCAGTAACCTGCAGAACACAGGCTGTCGCTCTTCCCTTGCTGCTGCTGCTTTTGCACCTGTTTCTTTTTGCCCTGCTGCTGCTGGTTGCTTAACCGCAGTGGCAGCGGCTGGTGCAGCAGCAGCAGCAGCAGCAGCACGCTGTGCTGCTTGTGTCAGCTTCGTATGCAGGGTTCCCTCGATGCGCTGCAGCAGAAAAGGTAGATCTCCTGCAGCAGCTGCTGCTGCCGCAATAGCTGCTGCTTTCTTCTTGACCCCTGGCTCTCCCGAAATTGCAGCAAATGCTGCTGTTTCTGCTGTTGCTGCTGTTGCTGCTGCAGATACTGCTGCTGTGG